CCTGATATGGACTGACTTGGACATCTAATAGAACAACTTAAAAAAGAACTAAAGGCAGAAAGGGATAAACATACTGTGGGAATAACTGAAGACTTGGCAGGTACTGTATGTCTGAGCAAATTAATATTTAAGGAAACGTCATGCCAAATAGCAGACATAGCTTCAGGCTGTCAGGAAAGCTTGTAACATGGCCATGCTCTTGAGATAAGTAACACTCAAAAGAATATCTCTGAAATTAAGATTGAGCCAGCAGATATACAGGAGAAACAATTTAAGGATTAAAGAAGGGTCAGGGAAAACTGGAATAATCAATTTGACTTATCTTTATTTCTAAGATTAATGACCTAAGCTCTGATTTGAATTTAATAGATATAGATATTGAACTTGCTCAGGGGTTCACTCTCCTAGGAATACACAGAAACCCAGAGATGATCAGATGTGTTAACTCAAATATAAAAAACAATTTTATAAGAAAATCACGTGATCTGGAGATTAAATGTGATGATGAGAGAGAGTTCTTCTTCCAAGACATCAGCATGGCTACACTGCAGTGAGGAAAGGAATTTCAACCGCTAATAGAAAAACCTGAGCAGAATGAGATTCATTACAAATGGGGATTTCCTTTCAAGCTAATTCTTTTCATGCCACAAGGAAGAAAAGTTATTTCAGCTTTGACTGAGATGTGCAGCTTGTTGGCAGAGCTCTCTAACAAAATGTGAAGGAAGCAATCTCCAAGCTGTCCTTGGAATTGTGAAAAGCAGGCTCAGTTCAAAGCTGAAGATAAGAATGCTGCACCAAGAGAATCTATATTGGGTGTATGAACTCTTTTTGAGCCTTTAAATCTAGAGGAAGGGGGAGGAGGGAATAAGATAAATAGAAAAAAATAGGTAAAAGAATAATGTAGGTTAAGCTATAGCTAAAGAAATACAAAAAATAATTTTGGGAACTTACTGACTGGGGAGGGAGAAAGAGAAGGTTGGAATATAAGGGTTTGGCACAGTGAAGGGAGTGGGTTGGGGAAAAGGATAAGGGAGGGGGTGATTTTCAAAAGAAGGAGGGCGAATAGAATGAGGGAAATAATGTATAACAAGACTGAATAAACAAGATTGAATGTTTTCACTAAAATGATGCTCCACATTTGAAAGTGCAAATATCTAGTCTTGATAAAGGATTCTTCTCCTCTAACTCCTTTAATAACATATATAGAACAGGATAATCACTACGGTCTGGCTCAAATTATACTTCTGAGAGGATACAACTTTTACAGAATAATTTTTTTTTCCTATAGCAACAGTGAACCTCTCAATACAGAAGAGATACAGCAATGAATAGGTGACAAGTTACCATGGTTTTTCTGGTATCAACGTAAATCTCTACTGGGCAATGAGGAGGTTAGAGCTTCAACAATTTGGCCTTACAACCATTTTGAGAATTTAATACTTAATTATCTAAACCAAAAGGAACCATTTCAAAAAGTTATAGGCTATTATTGCAGTTAGAAATAGGAGATCTGCCTCTTCATTTAAAGGAAACTTAGGATAATGATCTTGGTAAACTGATACCAAGAGGAGGTAAACTCATAAGGGAGACAAATTGGTAGGCATGATGGAAATCAGGTGACTTCACCTCAGCTTCAATGCAAGAACTTCAGTGGAAGATTATGCATTTCTGGCACTTGACTCCAGTTAGATTAGTCTACGTGTGTGTGTGTGAATTAACTATTCTTCCAAAAGTTGAAGAGGTTGTCAAAAAAAGGTGTTTCATTTGTGGACATCATGCAATAAAGCTATAACCATGGAGTCCTTGGGGTTTCTCCATTATCTACTCAACTTTAGCAGCTAAAATAATAATAATAAAGCTATAACCTTTTGATATACAATTTTGGGAAGATAAGCATCATTACTAAACAAAGAATTGAATGCTCCCCAGAGTTAGGGCTACTGTACTTATTTATGGGACCAAATCTCAAGCTTAAAAAATAAAGAACATTATCTACTCAACTTTAGCAGCTAAAATAATAATTGCCCAACACCAGAACACTTTAGATAATTCAACAATTGAGATGTGGATTACTAAGGCTTCTTCAGTTGCCACATTAGAAAAGATTACAGATAAAGTAACGGAACTGCAAAGGCAGGAACCACAATTTTATCAAATTTGGGCAGACTTTATATTTGCAGAAACTGGGATTGTCTTTGGCCAGGCTTGATCCATAACTATCACAGTGTCCTCAGCTTCCCATAAGATCAGCCATTCTCTAATACTCTGCACCACAAAGGGGACCCTAACCCATAAACATAATTAAAGTTTGCGCTTGTAGCTAGAACCAGGACTTCGGTCTAAATGGGAATTTGAAAAAGACCTTAGTAAGTTATGTATTACTGATGCTGTGGCCAAGGTTTACTTAACACACATTATGAGTTCATGCCATATAAGTACGAGCCTGAGTTTTGCAACGTAGAAACTTTGGGCTAAAATAAGCCTTTCATAACAACTTTGTAAGTCAATATCTGTGCACCTCCCTTAATTTCTTAGTACAGGTAGACCACACTTAATGACCACAGTTGGGACTGGCAACTCCATCACTAAGCAATGCGGTTGTTAAGCAAGACATCGTGTGACTGCAACTTGTGATTTCACTGCTGGCTTTTCCATTGACTCTGCTTGTCAGAAGCCAGCTGTGAAGCACGCAAATGGTGATCATGTGACCGCTGGATGCTGCAACAGTAATAAACAGTCACCAGTTGCAAAGCATCCGAATCTCGATTGTGTGACCACGGGGACGCTGTGACAGCCATACATGCAAGGACCGGTCGTAAAGTTACTTTTCAGTGCTGTCATAACTTTGAATGGCTGCTAAACATGGTAGTCATTAACCAAGAACTACCTGTATAGGTAGTCCTCATCTTATCACAATAGGGACCAGAAAATTTGTTGTTAAGCAGTATGGTCGTTAAGCGAGGCATCATGTGACTGCACCCAACTTTACAACAGTTTTTGTGGCAGTCATTAAGCAAATCACTGTGGTCATTAAGTGAATCATGCAGTTCCTCATTGATTTTGCTTGTTGGAAGCTGGCTAGGAAGGTTGCAAATGGTGATCATATGACCCCAGAACACTGCAACCATCATAAATACATGCCAGTTGCCAAGCGCCTGAATTTTGATCACATGACCGTGGGGACACTGTGATGGTCGTAATTGTGAGGACTGGTTGTATGTCACCTTTTTCAGTGCCATCGTAACTTTGAATGGTCACTAAACCAATGGTCATAAATCAAGGACTACCTGTACCATTTAATGTTTGGCAGAAGTATTGCAAACTATCTCCAGAAAGCCAGTCAACCTCAAAATCTGAAAGATGGTAGGCATAGTATTGTGATTAAAGCTCCGCTGCACATATCAAAGGGGCGGGCTTCTGATTGTGACACCATGCCATCTTGCAGATTTCAATGCACACACCTTCCCCCTAGATAGCACTGCAAAAGAGTGTGAAAACTTTTGGGACCTGCAGGTATATGAAGACAACAATCCAAGCATTAGAGATGTGGTTGATATACCAATTGGGGGAAAAAAAATCATTGTTCTGAGTATGCATAAATAAACAAGAACAGGAAGGTCAGCATGAGATGATATATGTAGCTGGTGAGTCCTGTAACTGAAATGAAACATTTGAAATTCTGAATCACCCACAATGGAGCAACGGTTGGTGAAGATGACAGAACTAGCTTAGATGGCAAAATTAACCTATTTGGTTAGAGAAAGATCAACAACTACATTTATCAGTGACTGGAAAGCCCTTATGGACTTTTTCCTGAAAGAAGAGTAAAATGAACTTGTGATTTATGGGTTTGAAGATTAGAAAGGATAGCTTATGGAAAGAAGGAAATCATGATGTAACCCTAGAGAGAGAGGATAAAATTCAAATGCATTTATAACCACTGTCAAGAAGATCGGAAGCCACTTCTTCATAATCTTTTCTTTTCTTTTTCTATTTTCTTTCTTCCTTATTCACTATTCTTCCTTGTTT